CATGTACATGAACCCATGAAGGACATGTTGCACACGTACATGTACTTACATGTACATGTACATGTACTTAATGTACATGTATACACACCCTTGTTCATGGAAGTTAAGCAAAAACCAGAAACACATCCTGGTGGACACATTTTTGTAATGTTTCAGATCCTATCATGAGTTTGTCTTCCCTGATCACCCAATCAATCCCCCTGTCCCCCCCTTCCGTAACTAAAAATAGATAGCCCCCAGCAATGATACTAGTACATTGTACATATGTATATCAGTAGCATCCATCAAGGCTACAGTTTGAGACTGAATATGGAAGGATTGCTAAAATTAACCCCTTTGACATTACATGTACAACATGTTGTGTACCAGTAGCACAGGTACGGTAGGTGCATGTTGCTGATTTATTTTTGTAAACTTTCATTCATGGGTGTAAGGTTACAAATACTGTACATGTACATGTATGTTAATGGGACATGTGGTTTTGTTTTTTTAAATCAAATACATGCTTGCGATGTTATGTAAGTTTGTTTCGAAAAATGGAACAGATTTTGCGGTTCGTCAGTCACACGTATGTTGAAAGAACTTCCCGTCTCAGTTGTGCTCAACATTCCCTACTTTTTTTTCTGTAAATGAACATGTGGAGTGTAAGGCACTAGGAGTCTGAGTTGGGCACCATCAATATTGCCGGTTGTCAGTGTTGAGGTCACAAAGCGTGACGTTTCAACACCTATTGAGCATGACTTTTGACAATAATGGAGACCAGACAGCCTGCCTGGCACACTGCACCATGTACATGTACAGTACATTGCTGTGCTGGCCTGCACATTGCTTAGTGTCTTGGCTCAGCACAAACTCCACAATTGTTAGCCAATTACAAGAAGTGCATTTTGATGACATCAGCTCGTGTGCTGTAAATTGTAATTTTTTTTTTGGCAGAGAGTCACTGTGATGGGTGTAANCATGGGGTGTAAAGTTAAACATTTTTTCATCTGTCCGTTTACCTAATGCTTTCAGTGTCATGCGCGCCCATTGCCAAGTGTTACTGTTCGTGTCGAACATTCACTTTGAAAAAAACAAGGCGCATGGATCGGGAACGGTTGCATGTACCTACATGTAGGCAGACAAACAATTTTTGTACCATGTACATTTTCACATGTATATACATGTACATGGTACCGGTATGTTCTCTGTACATGTACAGTCTAGTGTTGCAGATATTACATGTACGGTACCTGTACTTTTCCAAAGTCATATTTCAGCTGATTTGACATACCATAACTGTGGGCTGTTTACTACGCTGATGGGATTACAGAAACTTTTGGACTGAGCTCTCCAGCTGGCCTATATCTGTGTTCATCTGTTCTGCCCCATTTCCTATGAATCCCAAGTTATTTAACATCTGGAGATACTGTTCACCGATATCTTGACTGTAAAAAAAAAAAATTCTTATAAATTGGAACTTGATTCTGTTTGTTCTGTCTGCTGATTAGGTGTTCAAGTCTCACGTCATAATTGTTTTTGTAATATGTTTATTAAGGTTACCATTTTTGATACAGATACGTGTACGTGTCTGCAGGCACCAGTTGTTTGAAATTTATGGACATGTATCAGGAAGATAAAAGCTACTGATATGTCTTTGCTCTGAACAAAATTAGCCTTAGTTTAGAAACCAAATTCTGCTCACATGTGTATGTACATGTATAAACCAAGGTCTTTTTTTACGTACATGGGTGGTTCTATAAATTGGGCGTCCAACTTGGGGACATTTTGGTGTCCTGTTGCACGTGAAGCCATTCAAATTTTCTTCAGGTAAAATTGTAACCACATTATCAAACATTGTGCAGATTGAACTGTATATTGTACAGGTCATAAACAATGTAATCCTGTTTGATCTACAGAATGTGAACAGTACTAATATTAGTTCCATCCAGATAAGCTGAATGGTTTCACCCTTAACAGAACACCTAACTGTCCCCAAGTTGGACCTCTAATTTATATAATCACCCACATACACCTAGATATCTTGCATAATTTGAACCCATATTGTACATATACATGTACAACTACCCGTACAATGCAAAACTGAGAACCTAACAATATGGGAAAGAGGTGTGGAAGGTTGTTGCTGAGCTCAGGGCTCTTTTCCTCTCAAATAGAATGAAAAAAAAACGATTGATTAAATTTTGAATCTTTCCTCACATGCAGTGCTTCTGTAAGCTACATGTACAGTACATGCATATACATACACGTAGAGGCAAAGTTTAATGATGTACATGTACATGTACATGTAAGGACATCCAATTTGGTTTTGGCTACACATACAATATATGTAAACATTCCAGTAATGAAAAAACTCCTGTGTTGATTTTATTTAATTCAACTTATTTTGAAAATTACTGGTACGGTACATTGTGTGGCGGTTTGCTTGTTGAGTAAGTCCCGTCAATTTCCACGCAGCAAAAAAACAAGAAGACATTGTTACACAAGGTGTAATTTTGTACAGTATCTGAGCCCGAGTGTCACAGAATACCTTGCACAATGATCAGTGTGGGACCACCAAGCATTCTCCCGCATTATATTGTTCATTGGCACCCGATTGTCAATTGCCAAGGCAGGGGCGTACATGTGGAACAGATTTTTAATGGAGCGTGGATGTACGCGCTCAAGAAAATGCTCGCAGCTTGGCCGTGCACACGCTCTCTCTGTTGGGGACAGGAGACAACACTAGTGTACCGCTCTTGTACGGAACAGCACATGTACATGTACAGTGCGCTGTGCATTCACACTAATGGACATTGAAATCTCTACACACAGCTCAGCACACACAGTCTGGACTGTCTGTATTGCATTACCGAGGTCACGGTCGGGTCAAATCCATGTCTATTTACATGGGGGAACCTGCCTGCAGTGGCCATTTTGTCTGAGTTCACTGGGCCCTTTTTTTTTTGTCGGCATACTGAAGCAGTGCTCTAGTACATGTACATGTACACTACGGTATCAATGCGGATTTCTTGGGGGAATAGGATTGAAATTTGAAGCACAGGCAATTTGCCATTAATTGGTATTGTTTGAACATTAATTGTACCCGGTACATGCACCTGTACACATGTTAACATGTAGTTGACATGTTAACATGATTGTGTGGTACCCGCTTGTACTAATGTGCATACTGAGTGGGGGGAGCATACATGTACATGTAGGCCTACATTTACAGCACATCGATCTGGACATATACATGTAACATACATTTTACATGTAGCGTTTCATGAATTATGCATGTGTGAGATATGAAGTTATTCACACAGTCAGAAAGCTCTTGATAAAATGTACCTGTATGCCTGTGCATGTGGAGAGTTACATAGAAGAACAGTGCATGTCAATTTATCATTAACAGCTCAGTTTGTACAGGGACAGTGCTAGTATTTGGGCTAGTAAATGGGGGTATCAATAAATAAGATTGAACAATATTTTGACAAGTACCGGTACATGTACGTGTACTCGTATATGTACCAGTAGAATGTTAACGAGCATCTGTTATTATTCAAGAGGGAGAGTTTGTTTGATCTGTTCATACTTTTATGTCTATCGGCATATAAATAATATTAATGTACGTATGCATTTATATTCACACAAATTTTGCACATTTGTACAGACTTTATTTGATTGTTTTTATGTGGTGATAGTCACTGTTTCATGCTGCTTTTACATCATCTTCAAACCATTTTCACAACCAAAGCGAAACACAAGTCCAAATGTTGCCCATTAACTGTGAATTTGAAAAAAAAACCCAACCCAGGTCTTGTAGGGTACATGTGAAAGTGATAGAACTGAGTGAGTGTCAGGTGTCAGCTTTTTCCCAGGGGCAGTATATTTTGTTCATCAATGGATACCCTGTAATCCACGGAACACCTGAGTGAACGGACATGTACATGTACATGTACATGTAGGAGGGAGGATGTGTGTACATACATGTATACGGTAATGGTCCATGTACATAGGTACATTGCATCAAAAATTGTGATTTTGATTTCCAGGGTGTTAGCAATAAAAGCATCATTTTGTGATAGATGTGCATGGTGGGATATTTATGTATAGAGGGTTTGCATGGCTGCCATCTTGCAGGCCAGTGCTTTTGTTCCAGGGGGTTGCACAAAAGGAGGTTTCCCTGTGGAACGGAACAACTGCCTTGCAAGATGGCTACCGTGCAAAGCTTCTGTACTACATGTACACATATACATGTATGTTATACATGTACGTGATTGTAACAGTGTTGTTTGTTATCTTTTTTCAGATTCTATGGGCTCTATATCGTCTATCCAGTCACCCACCAGCACCATGGGTTCCCCTCCCCCGATGTCCAACTCTCGCAGCATGGGTTCCCCACCCCTCATCACTTCCCCACCCCCGCTGCATGCAGGGAGTGGGGGGATGTTGCACTCGCCGGCCATGCAGTCTCCGACCCTCAGCAGCATGGGTGGGTCGGGTGTGTCCTCCGTCTCCTCCCAGCAGGAAGACATCAAGCCCTTGATTGGCCCCTCAGGGATCCCCACCCACCCGGTTCCTGGGTCCATGATGTCCCATATCTCCCTGTCGCCATCCTCCATGCTTAGCCAGGGGGCGCACTCGCCGCTGGGCATGCCCGGCTCGTCACTGAACAAAGGCATCTGTGCTGTCTGCGGAGACAGAGCTTCTGGTAAGGATGAGGTTTTTGGTAAGGGGAGGTACTCCAAGGTGGTCAGTAGGTGGTCTTGGGGGGATATTAATACAAAAAGCAGTCAGGTGAAATTGCAGTTTTCTTAGGAGGAAAACATTTGTGATGCAATCACCAGTGTACACTACATGCGACAGTGCTGCATTCTGGTACCTACATGTACTTGTAAGAGGCAACTCTAAAAGATGAGAGAGAAAACATTTATCTCCGCTTAAATTTTTTAAAGCATACTTCTGACTTGGTCTTCAGATATCTCAGAGCTAGGCTTCAAACAGCTTTTGGCAGTTGGTGTACAGTGAATTTGTATGTCTGCATTTACCATGTTTGAATGACCATTGGGTACGCGTACCGGTACATGTATGTGCGACATTTGCAAGATCATGCAAAAGTGCCAAAAAAAAAACTAAAAGGAAAAAAAGTGAAGAACTTGTATGAAAAAGGTGCAAAGAGATTTAAGTGATACAAAATTAGACCATTATACATACACGTATTTGCCTTTAAAACATCCTTTGCAAAAAAACAGATGAACTGCAACCTTGTGACCTCTAAGACTTGTGTCTGTAAATTTCCATAGAACCCAGGGAACCATTCATCGTACATGTACCGGTGTAGACCACAGTCTCCCTGTTCATCACTGTGTTTTGGTGTCACGTCTCTCTTCCAGAGACACTGTTGAGTTTCTTAGCATGCTAAGAGTAACCTTTCACATGTTGTGTCTTTCTGGTTTTGCAAAACAGATTTTTGATTTCAATTCAACTTGAAGCTTCTTTTGACACAGTCGTTGCGCTCACGTGCACTCGCATAGGAATTTATAGACTAAAGAAAGGAAGTTGCTTTGCATTTAAAAGAGCTCCCCAGGCTTTGTGTCCTCAGAATCGCATTTCTGGAGAGTTTCCCTGCTCAATGCGTGGTTTAACACTCAGGAAAAGGTTTGCATTTGGAGGCAATTTAATGACGGCCTTTGCTGTCCCAATGTGTACTTGTAATTGTATGCATGATGCCGATTCTGTCCAGCAATCGAAACGTAATTTTGCCCTCGCTCACCGGTTTCTATGGTTACCAAAACATGTGAGACATCTTATTTTGTGTACAAAGCAGTATGTACGTGTACGTAAAACATCCATGTACAATAAGGCGTGCAAGGACTTCTGGTGTGAAATGGTGAGCCTTTTGAGTATTGCAACTGGTCATTCCAGATAATCAGTGTGCATTCATAGGACTGGCCTGGTCAGTGCGGCTGTACACTAATTATGAGTAGCTTGCTCTGGATCGGCTCGAGCTGGCGTGATGTTGAATGTCTTGGGCCCGATGACCTTGGCCCATCGAAATTCCAATGTACGTCTTTATTCATGTGATCCGTACATGTATGGGTAGTTCAGTCAGTTTATGTGCACCACACTGTCAAAAATGTGTATTCCATATTTATGTGTCATTTCCTCTGCAATGTTGCATCTAGTATCTGCACTTCCGTCAGCTTTGCTGGGATAAATGTTCAAAACATCTCACAGCATTGAAATTGATTTCCAAACTGCTTGTAAGTTAACAATCGGCATGATTTTTACCACGGAATTCACTATAGTCAAATTCACAGACATTCCTTCATGTGAATAATTGCCTCTTTGAGCTTAACATTGATTTACAGTATCTTCTCACTGCAAGCCAGACATTGCTAGGCTTACGTTTTGCTTAAATGGAGGAGTCTTTTGTTTTGCCACACGCATGTAGGCTTACACGCTAACACAACCAGAAAGAAAAGGGGGAAAAGCAAAGATGAGGCATGACAGGTACAGTGTAGCTTAAATTGAGAATAATCAGTGTACAGCACCTGCATTGTCGAGCCTTGGCCGTCCTTGAAAGGCTTTACCATCGGTGGGCAGGATTTTACCTACTTTCTGCCGGTGAGCATTAATGTACACATTTGGGAAGGGAGTCACACATGCCTCATTACTAATGCGAAGTGCCTGGATTTTTCTTTATTATCATATTTTGTAAAGGCCAAGGCCACACCACTGTGATTATGTCTTGCATGTCAGGGCATACATGTATGTATAAATTTCACTACATGTAGCACACTACATGTACCAGTACACTGTACATTTACCGGTTGCTGGGAAATAAATTCGGTTCATAAACATGTACGTGTAGACAGGGAGAACTCTTGTTCCCGTGATCTTTGTCACATGCACGCAGTGTCCTTGACAGAACAAATTCAATGGTACTTGTACAATATATGTAACTGTTCATCCCGTTTTTAAAAATAATTTTGGAAATGATCCGTTACAAACGATTAACCCTAACCCTCCTCAATCCTTCACCTGTTGGAGGACTGAGGAGTGTGAAGGTTAATGAGTTAAACATGTCGGTACATACAATCTACCAGTACATGTACACGCACATGCATAAAGACTAATTCCCACTCGCAAAAGTTCCTGGCAAGATGGAAGAACCCGAAGGTTTTTAACTCACGCCATCAAAATACATGAACAGTAGTTAAGTACATGTACATGCATGCACAGCTCTGAAGCATTTTCACACCAGACGTACCGTACATGTACATGAGCAGATAGTTCTTAAATGATTCATTTTAAGACATTCAAAATGGACACGACACATGAACAAAACAGATACAGCAGGTTCAATAGATGTGGTCGAGTTGAACGTCTCCCGCCTCCTGTGTTAAGTAGACGAGCGCATTCTTCCCAGATTTCTTTGGACTGTGAGCCAGGGGATCCCTCAAGAGCAAACTTAATTGTCATTTGAGACAATTTTTTTTTTTTTTTCAGTGGAGGCGAAGAAGGAAATGTGATAGAATATTACTCACTACATGTACACTGTATGTCTGGGTGCCCAACCCAAGATTGTCCTACAAATTAAAAAAAAAGCATAAACACCCCAAAGTTCACCCCATACAGATACATGTACATACACCTGTTAGCTGTCTGCCAGTTCTTTGTTAGCGGCTTTTTCTGTCAGTGATTTCAAAACAACAGAAATTTGAGCTACTGTGTACATGCACATGCATATGTATCTAGAATTGTAAATAAGATGGAAGCCAGATGCAAAATTCTGAATGGTAGCATTTAGGGCAGAAGACAAGAAAATGCTTCTGGAAGTACAGAAAATGTTTCTAATTTTAAGATCAACTTTTCTTGCAGCGCATGTGGAGTTGGAGATATCGCTATGAATGCATGTAAGGAGCCCAGAAATGAAAAAAAATTGCCAGTGGTTGTTCCTTGGTCATTCCTTTTGAGGATATGTTTATTAGATGGCTGAAGCAATGCTTTGTTTCTCTCCTTCCTTCTCTTTCTCTTGCCCCTCTCTTTGCCTCCTCTTTGTCCCGTTTGTAGGTAAGCACTATGGTGTCTACAGCTGTGAGGGGTGCAAAGGGTTCTTTAAGAGGACAGTGCGCAAGGAGCTGACTTACTCATGTCGAGACGACCGGAACTGCATCGTTGACAAACGCCAGAGAAACCGTTGCCAGTACTGTCGCTACCAGAAATGCATCGCCATGGGCATGCGAAGAGAAGGTAACAGTGGTCATTTTATGTCTTTTCCCATCCCACTTTTTCGTACCTTCTTTTTTTGTTTTGAAAATGAAGAGCTTTTGCCCAAATCTCCGAGAAGCTGAACACTGGATTCCGATTACCGGATGGATCTGTTCACGGGCCAACCCCCAGCATGAGATCACTTTGCACTTGGGATAGCCCAGTAACTGGCAGACAGGCTGTCGTCAGCCATTGTAGGAATGAAGGCTGTGGCTGAATGTTACGGCTACGGCTAGGCATGGCATGGGTGCCTATGGGAGCCACTGGTTTGTGGCTTCATCCACTTCCCATCAAGCCACGTGTTATTGATAGCTGTAACCAGTTGGAAGTGACCTGAACGATGCTTCCCTTCCTGAATTCTCTGATGATACATATGTTCGATCACATAAAAAAATATTTACATTCTAGTGACCATGCATGCCACCAGCGTTCTCACTGCAAGCAGTTTCTTGTTCTTGTCGCCTTGACACCAGCCAAGGTCGTAGTGACATTAAAAGAGAGAGAAAAAAAAAAACCCCAGCAACTTTTGAATACTGAAGAAATTCTTGAAGGGGGACCATTCAATGCTCCTACCAGCAGCTGGTGCATGGCGACAGTGTGATGAGGATGGTGTCAGTATGCAGCTGGTGTTCTAAGCGCCTGTGGTAATGCCCAGCTGCCAGCCTATGTATGCATAATGCATGCGTGAAATTGATACATGTGCTTTGGTATTTCAGGACACGAACATGGATGCTAATACATGGGATCGGACATTTTTAATTTTTGTTTTCCAACATGTTCTGGGGCTCACAAACGACTTACTGCGGAGCTCTGCCTGTCACAAGGGGTTTGCTTTTACGGCCAAAAGATTTTTAGCAGGAAAGGTAACGGAATGTATGCCATCGTGTGTTTGGGTGCTCCGTGTACATTGACCCCTGAGCCACGTGGCGGTTTGTGAGTCCTTGATCTTACATGTTGTACAGTTGTTTCAAAATGAAGCTTCATTCCGAATTCCAGAATTGGTAGAAAATCCATGTGCTATTCACCAGCCCAGCAAGGCCAGCGTGCATGGCAACTGCCATACCGGTACTTTGGCCGCAAACTCCCCCCTGCAGCATTGATATCATGCACGCCCGTTATTGAATTTCAAGCTGGTGTCTGATCTGGTTCCTGTCCAGTTACGAATTTTTGTCTGTGATGATACACCAGTACCATCTGCTTCTTGCCCATGTTTGCACTTGTCCAGGTTCATACATGCATGAAATAATCTGGATTTTTTTAACATACAACTACTGTACATGTACATCTGTGTATCTACACATGAAGTAGTGTTTGTCATCTTTTGGAATTAATTTAAGATCTTACATATTGTTCCCATATGTGCAGCCTGTGACACCTGAAAACTAGTTGTCCTCCCAAAAGTACCTTCACACGTATGGTCTTGTTTGTTTGAAAACAAGGAAACCCATAACACAAACGACAAAACAAACAAACAGCAGAAACTTTAATTTGCACATTGCGTGATGTACTTACAGTTTGCGAGCGTTTGCATTACACCTGCATGGAACTATTTTAAATAGGTCCTAGCAAAGTGTCTTTTTAAAAAAACACAAATATTTGATGGATATAGGTTTGATTGGTGTTTCTTTAAATCTCAGCCGTCATCCCTGAGAAATATCCCCTCACCACAGTCGTTGTCTTCAGCTAGCGCTAGCCTTGCGGGCACAAATGTCGCCCGTGCATGTTTGCTCCAATACCCCAGTTCCTTCTGTCGTCTTCATTCAGAATTTGTCTTCCGGTCTATTCACTTTACGAGGCCCCCCTCCCCAGCTATTTATAGATAGCATTCATGGCATAACGTGACTGACAAATGTTTTGCGGGTTGAGGATGCTCGAAGCTGCTCTGTTCGTGGGGGTGTATCTGATGACGTCCATTGTGACACATTGTCACATTAGGGGAAAAAAAAGAGAAAATACATTTATCTGAAACTTGAATGAAATTCAAATCGGGAAAGGTGTTACCTGTAAGTGCAGGGTTTTTATTGAAACCTCTTGCAGATTTTAGTGAAAGGCACCATAAAAACAACCAACTGTAAAACATGTTTCTATTACATGTTAGCAGCAGGAGTCAGGAAGAAATGTTATCTTCATTACAGTATCTTTATGTACACTGCCAACATCTAAAATTTGTTCAGAAGTCTGATCACCATGCATACAATAATCATACAGATGAAAGCTCATTAACTTGGTCCTGTACATGTACTGGTACATGTGTGCCTAGGGACGCTGGAAATGGATGCAAATTTCCAACTTATCACTTTTACAGACCTGCCAACTCGTACGAGTTAGCCGTATTTCCTACGGGAAATTCTCAAAAATACAATCGTACGTTTTCTTCCCCCATAAACCATGGGTTTTTGACGATGTTGACTTGCATGAAAAAATCGTAGTTCAACCGTTGCGAATGCACATTATGCTAGACATATGCAGTCTCAAACGTTTGCACATGTACAGTGTACATGTATCATGTACAGTGTACGTGCGTACAGGGCATGCACTCACGTGTACAAACCTTGTGTGTAAACAGCATCTGGCAACCACCCGACATTGTGTTGTGATTGGCTGCCCATGAAATATTAATATTCATGTTGCATTAGTGGGACTCTTTAAAGCCGCTTATGTGTCAGTGGAAGAAGTGACAAACAATCTCCAGTATTTTATGTAGTGCGTATTTCACGGCCACCGTAAATATGCGGCTTGAAATAAGGTTAATAATTTTTCCACTTTCACTGCAAAAGAGGGCCTTGTGGCAACTGGTGTGGGGCAAAGGAAATTATGTCATACATTTTGCATGGCTTCTACAGGTTCTGTGTGCGTCGTTTTTTACGAGATTTCAAACAATTTTTGGACATAGACTCATCAACATGTCAGTGCAACACCTGTAAGAGGGTCAGATTTGGATGCAATCTTTGACAAGACCAATCCTCAAGTTAAAACTATGCGGAAATAAAAAAAGGATGGAGACAGTTTACGGCTGGCCAGCAAGCAGGTGACAAAATCCACGCCAGGAAATTCCAAAAAGCCTGGACTTGCGACGTGCATTTCAAGATTTCAAATTTGCAAACGTGGTCAATTCAGGTGGGAATTGGGCCATTTCACTCTTCGACCTCGATAATTCATTTCCGGTGTGATTATTTTATGCGTGAAGAAGTGTTGACGTAATCTAGTCCGAGTTACTCGGACTAGACCCATAAACATGGCCTGACGTTTACTCCTCCTCCAGTATACGACGAAGGAGTGGACGTTGGGCCCTGTTTATGGGTCTAGCTATAGACCCAATCCAGACAAGTGGTCAAAGTGATCACGGAGAGGAATGGACCTATGTTTATTTTTGGAAAAAAATGCTTTTTACTGAAAAATATGACTTCTGAATTTTCAGAATACAGTTTTGTGATTCAAAAGATGGGCAGCTCTGCTTCAAGTCTGTAGACAGGTGTTTTGAGAAACCTTTACCACTTGGTAAACCACCTTGTTAATCAGAACCAAAAAGTTAAGAGTGTAGTTTTGTGTTTGAGAGTTTGATTGATTTTAAGCTCTTGGTTTGTAGCATTTATCTGTTCCCCTTTATTGCTCTGCGGATGTTCTTATAATTGCACCCTTTCACAGAATGACTTGAGGGTCAAACCCTATGGAGTAAATTGCTAATGTAGTTGGTCATTCCTTCGGTCATTGACGTTCAAAGGAGGCACAGACATTGTTTGACACTGTTCTTGGACAGAGCACATTACACTTGTACATTTACTCGTTCAACGAGGTAGTCAGTGCACAGTCTTAGAGCAACTTGTAAACACATTGCAGGCAGCTGGCAATATTTAAACATCTGTCACCATTTTGAAAAATTCACATCTACATGTACATTACGTACATATTTGTGTAAGGGGTGCTTACGTAATTTACAAACATAAAGTCGTGCGTGTTTCTAATTGTTAATGTTTGTCATACGTGTTCATACATGTATTCATACTCATGTGCTGAATAATTACAGCATTAGACAATTTGTTTCCCATTTAGTCTGGAAACACTTTCATTGTTGAAATCATACTCCTCTTCATTGTACATGTAATAGCCCCCTCCAAAAACAATGAAGGAAAAAGGAAAAATCTCCAGAAATTTGTGCTTGCTTCCATCACCTCACATCTGGGCATAGAACCTTTTTTTCTGTTAAAGGTATGAGTGATGGAAGTCACAGGTACATCTACATGTACATGTAGATAACTTTTGCCAACACATACCATTCTTAACTGACTTGTCATTTGTTTTCTTGCTTTTTTTCTTAGAACAGCCATTTACTCTTGAGCATTTTCTTCATTTGTATATCTCTTTTTCTTTACAAACAATAGCCGCTGATTTTTGTGATTGTGGTTTGCGAGGCAGTTCAATTTTCTTGGACTCACTTTGAAAACCGCAGTTCAGTCACTGGAAAGCTTTTCCTCAAACACTGCCTCAGTAAATTGTGTACTTCTGAGAAAATTCCTGAGGGATTCCAAACACTGAGTCTAAGTGAATGTCCTGCAGATGTGTGGCTCCCAGGGTGTATACTGGCAGGTTGGAGAGGAAATCTAATTTTGCCCCAGATTTAAAGAAGAATAAAATCATTTCCACAATTGTACCTCAAAGTGCCATGTTGCATTTGTGCCGCACATCCTTTGAAATGTTTTGTCCAAGTTTGGTTTTATTTTGAAGGAAAGATCCAGTTGCTAGTTCTGTTGTTTTGGCTGCTTCCAAATTTATTTTAAAAACTATTTAATCATGCACCTGTGTACTGGTACATGTACATATGTACATATGAGGTATTTGTGCATCTTGCACTATCCAAGATGCATAATGTTAATTTACATTGTACATACATGTACATGTACGAACTACTAGCCTGACGTACAGTATATACTGTTATTCCACGTGTACAAATCAAGTTTATTTGTTACATCTTGAAAAAATCCTTTTCACCCTAGGAGAAACATCCGAGCAAGGCAGAAAATGGCCTGCTTACTGCTTGTTAGTCAGTAGTGTTTTTACACAGTGTGATGTACAGTATTTGACGTGTGTTCCATGAGAGAAAAACTTTGGTAATTTGAATGGCGAAGGGGTCATGAGGAATATTTTGAGTAATGCCCCTCGATGCTGAAAAGTGGAAATAAATTTTGACAGTTATTGTGTATTACTACAAGAAGTATTGTGTTTATGGAAGCGTTCAGGTGAAGAAGAGTCAAAAGGGGATGAAACAAGAGCAATCAGTCATTAAGAATTGATCCAGCAATTAATTTGTAACTCGTCCATGTTTAAGCAAAACTGAAGAGCTTTTGTTCACCACAGCCAAGAGCGACTCTTTTGTACTTGCGCTGACAGGCTCCTTGAATTGCGCTCTTGTACCGTATAGTTGTTCTGAAACAGTTTGATATGAGTTGACATTGATGAAGACTTACGCCCCTTAATGCTGACAGCCAGGAAAGCCTTGCAGCACTCATTTCTTTTTTCTTTTTTGGGTTTGTCCTTGTCATGTGCCTGGTACTGTAGACAAGGATGCCCACGACCTCACAGAATTGATGGTCTCGCGGTGCCAACTTCCGTCTCCTAATCTAAGCCATTGCAGTCTAAATCCTCATTTCATGTCCCCTTGGATGCGAAAACACCTATACATGCACACACACCCACACAGGTTTACGTTACATGCCTAGTGTGGACAGTCGTTTGTTTTTTTCGTGCAGTTAAAATGAAGCTGCAATGAAATTTTCTTAGGCACAGGTTTTTTTTCTGTAGCTTTGTACTTTAATGTATAAAAAATCCTTTACATTCCTATTTGGTTAATGCAATGAAAAGTGCACTTGATTTAACTTTTAAAATTATCCACGCTTTCTTGAAAAACTGAGGGCACTGTTGCAGTGATTTCATCCAGGGAAGACATTGGTCCATGGGTACGTCTTTCTGTTGAAATTGTGAACCCAGAATTTAAGTACTGAAAACAGTTCTTACGAAGTGATTGATGCCTGCTTATTGCTGTGTACAAAAAAACCCAATAAGTCAGCAAAGAGGAGAAAATTTAGTCCAGTAAAATCTACTCAAACTTTTTCAAGTACAAACCAATGTAACCTTGACGCTTTCTTCCCGGGATGACATCACAGTTTTGCTCATGAATATGAAATTTATCATTAACATAAACTAAAAAAGCAGTAAGGCACCCTTTTAAATAGTAAAACAAAAGTTGAAAATAATAATAAAACAGAGACACAGACAGGTATTTTGAAGGTTTATGTTAAAACACATTGATTCCAGCTACCGTTGAAAATTTGGTGAAAATACTCGTACTTTGAACTGGGAACACAATTTTCTGCTGGATTTTTGCAAATGTTTCCTTGACTGTTCTTTTTACGACGGATAACCCTAACCCCAAAATGCTTCTAAACTTCATAGAAGGGGATACGTCCTGTGGCAGTGGGTAAGTCCACAGAACGTCTTCCCTCCCTGCTTCGTGTGGACATCTTTTGTTCACAAGTCTGCACTAGGTATGTAAGGTTAGCACATTCACACACACACCCGTGTTTTTGTATTTCAAAAGAGTCAATCTGTGTTCATTTCTCGGAGCTGTGTGTCTTGCAGCTGTTCAGGAGGAGCGACAACGGAAGGACAAGTGTCAGGGAGAAGGGGAGGTTGAGAGCACCAGCTCCGTCAACAACGACATGCCAGTGGAGAAAGTGCTAGAGGCAGAGCTGGCCGTAGAGCCCAACACAGACACGTATGTCGACACGCCGGTGAGTAGGCCACATCCTAAACTAGGTTACATTTTTGGTGGCCAATTTGATGAAAGAGGGTATCACTAGAGTGAGCTCCCAGTCTTAATACCTGCAGTCCTCACGCAAACGGCATTTGGAGTTACTTATGATGGACTTTGTATTGTGGTGTTAAATTCACTGATAAGAGGCGTGCCCTTCTCTAGTGTATGTATGCGCAGTATATACCCTGTGGGGGACCCCCCCCCGAGCAGGACTCGAGCCTGTGACCTCTTGCTGGCATTGAGTGCTGTGGCCTGTGGTTAAGAGCGTTCAATTTGTAGTCTTCGGGTTCGAATCCAGCCTAGGGTCATGGTGCTTGTGCCCTTGGGCAAGGCACTTTGTCACTCCTTGCCTCTCTCCACCCAGGAGTCATTGGCTACCTGTGAGGGCAGAGATGGTTATTGTGGTTGATTTAGCTGCTTTGTGCCAAATAGTGGCTGCATTGAGCTGCATACTCCCCATGGGCCTGATGAGCAGGGGTAATAACAGTGGAAAGCGCTTTGATCTTAAGTTAAAAACCGATATACAAAAAAACCCCAAACTCTTATTATGTTCCGAGGTTTCAACTACTCAATCATTGCATTGAATTGGCACCTATCAGTGCTGTGTCGTTTGTGTTTCGTTTGCTGCTTAGGTTGGAGTCTCTTTGTGTACTTGTCACACGTGTCATTATAAATCGGAAAACTTGGTATTCCTCCTCTTTTGAGACTTTCCAAATGTGTGTCTGAAATGCTGAATGGATCTAGGAGCTGATTTAAGTGCAGGAGGGAATGGGCTGTCATCTACATGTAATGAATCACTGTGCACGTTATTTTAGAATCAGTGTATTGCGTCCTGTTGTAATCAAGTCTTTTTTCCAAGTCCGAAAGTACTCACAGATTCAAGGTGTTACACAAAACGTTCATTCTGAGAGACAAGACAAGTGCGGTTTGAGTACTTATGTAATTGTTTGAGAGTAGGAGGGAGTGTTGGACGCGTAGACACTTGGTTGCTGAAAATGAAATGGGAGACTCTGTGATGCTTGTTGGCAGCAGACACCACTTACCTTTTTGTTTGATGCGGGGATGCAGTTATAGACATGCGCATTAGTTCTGAGCATGCGCACGACCACGGCAAAGGACTGGTTTGTCTGCCGCCACCCAAGTCTCTCTCAAAAGTCTCCCATTGGTCTGAGTTTTTGGCAAAAATGTGCACATCATGTGCTTACATACATGTACTTGTATGTCATACTGGTTGTCCAAGTTTTCGTGATTCTACCCTTTCAAAGAAGTGAAGCAACTCAGCCTAATGCCGTTTATGCCGCCTCTGATTTTGGTGTCTGCGGAGGCTGGGATTTTGGTCCTCAGTTCCCTTGGACACCTCAACTCTTTCTATCACATCTTACGAAAGAAATCCGTGTCTGAGGTCTGCAGGAACTGAGAAAACCTGCACTCCTCTCCAAATCCACCTGATTTTTACCGGACACTGATCAGTTTCAAAATTCATTTATCACTGACCCTCCCTCGCACTCACTCACCTGAACAGCACGACCCTGTTACCAACATTTGCCAGGCAGCGGACAAGCAGCTCTTCACGTTGGTGGAGTGGGCCAAGCGAATTCCCCATTTCACGGAACTACCTCTTGACGATCAAGTCACCCTCCTCAGAGCCGGTAAGCACTTTCTTTCCAAACCTTCTAAGCATATAAATTTACTGAATACAGAAAGAACAGCAAAAAGACACACTCGGCAAAGTAACTTGCTGTTGTTTGGTGGGTATCGCACTTTACACTACATAATGTACTTCACGTTTTGTGGTCTCTGACAATGTTGGAAGAGTGACCAAATTGATGTTTACCTCGAGGGCGCTCCCTGTCATTTGCAGGAACATTTTAGGTCTGTCCACTCAGATAGATGGGCAGAAAAGGAACATAAGTGCAAGCACCCATTGCACCTCAAATGTTGCCTGTAGAATTTCCTATAAAGGAGGTAGTCATTTGGTCCCTCACTTAATGGAGTGCTATTCACAAATGATCACAATCGCATCAATTGCTGTGACAGAATCCAATAAAGTCATCTTAGTCAATACTAAAAATGAAACCTTGTGGCCACTGGGACTTTAAATTGGATGTTATTGTCAATGTCATTTGAATACTAGCCCCCAGGCTCATATTCTGTATCTGTCTGTGACCCCACAGGCTGGAATGAGTTACTGATTGCTGCGTTCTCGCACCGCTCCATCGCTGTCAAAGACGGCATCCTCTTGGCCACTGGTCTGCACGTGCATCGGAACTCCGCCCACCATGCGGGGGTGGGCACCATCTTTGACCGGGTGCTGACGGAGCTGGTGGCCAAGATGCGGGAGATGAAGATGGACAAGACAGAGCTGGGCTGCCTCAGGGCCATCGTCCTCTTCAATCCTGGTCAGCCTCAACTTCCATGACTAAATCAGGACGTCTAGAGGACTATCCACTTTCTTCATCGTTTTCATGAGCATACAAGGAACATTTTTTTTTCTCTGGACTCCCTTCCCCTCCTAAAGTGTTCAAACAGAAAAGCAAACCAAAATGATGGAAATGGCTTACTAATTTGTTGAAAAGGTATGCATAGCGAACAATCTCTTGCTCCCAGCATGGGATTTGATGCTCACGAAAATGATGGAGACAAGTGGATGATAGCTAAGATAGTAACTAGGAGCTAGTGTCTGAAACCTAGGTGCAGTTTAGATGAAGCCTTCTCTAAGGTTTGTGTCATAATCCTGTTGCCTTTTCACTCTTCAAAAATCTTTTGGTTGTGCCTGTTACCTGTCAGACCAGAGTTATAATGAACGGTGAGCTATTCAAAAGGTGTAAAACCTCAACTGAGATAAAAAAAATTTCACTGTGCAAAGGGTTCATCCTTTGTGCTTATGCCTAAACCGGCTTCACATTAGGGACAGTGAACGTTGCATCAAATTTTGAGGAGCAAGTGCCTGAAAACTTGCAATGAGTGACATGCAGAAAGACAGTCCTTTGACAGGTGTACAACTGTTTGCCCATCACTTGATTGTCTCTTGTATTTTTTTCTTTCCATGTCATGCTAAATTGAGGAACTCCTGAAAGTCCTTTGCAGAATTTCCTGGTTTCATGTCACTTTCCGATAGCATGCCTTCTTTTGTGTATGAAAATTGGTAGAGTCAAAAAATTGCTGACTGTTACGTCTTTCCCCATTCTGTGCAGACGCCAAGAACCTGAACTCGGTGCAGAAGGTGGAGGAGCTTAGGGAGAAGGTGTATGCCTCGCTGGAGGAATACTGCCGGATGCAGTACCCGGACGAGCCCGGCCGTTTTGCCAAGCTGCTGCTGCGTCTCCCCGCCCTGCGCTCCATCGGCCTGAAATGCCTGGAGCACCTCTTCTTCTTCAAGCTGATCGGTGACACGCCCATCGACACCTTCCTCATGGAGATGTTGGAGGCACCCAGCAACAGCTGAGCGAGTCATCTCTGTGTCCAAAAATCTGTGGTGGTTTGTTTGTCTGTTTTATTTTGTTTGTTGATTCAGTGTCGGGGGAAAAAAAACCAAAAAAAAAAAAAAATCAGTCAAGAGGAAAAAAAAAGGCAATTTGTGGTATATACAGATGCAATATAGACTACAACCTGCCAAGGAGAAAGATTTGCCAGCCACATTTTGTGATTGTTTTTGAAGCCCATTTGGGCCCTCGGTGATCCATATATTATCACTCTCAAGGTGAGCAAAGAGAATCGCTGAAGACATTTCACAGTTTGGCCACTGGAACCGGGACAGTGTTTGGATAGACAAACATTCAACATCCTTTTTTGTAAAATTTAGATAAATAGGCACGAAGATAAGGTACCATTAATGAACATGTCCAAATGTTTGCGGAAAGAGTATACTCTGCATAATACTAAACAGGCTTTGTCGGAATTGAAAGGAAAAGAACTGGATTCTGTTGTATGTGAATATCAGTGAATTTTTTTTTTCATGGGTCGATGGAGTTGCTTTATGGTGGCACCGTGTAGTCTTTGCAGTCTGTCCTATAGAATCTTCCCTGCAAAATTTTGGTCATTCAAAAGTGACTTACAAATTGTCAGTGTCCCATTTACATGTTGAATTTAATAATACGAACTACCTAATGTCATCCAGGACTTGTCTCAAGTGATGTGTTCTCTTTGTGTGTATCCGTAGGCCTAGTCTTAAACACAAACGTGTCACGTTGTTGCCCACTTAAATTCAGAGACAAAGGCTACAGATTGGGTAAAAATACAGGAGTGTATCGTGACCCACGTAGAACTGCCTTCTAAATGCTAGCTACAGCAGAACACATGGAAGTGATGCTCTAGCCAGTGACAGAACCCTGCAAGTATTTGGAAACGCTCCATCATAAATGCTACCTCAAATGCTACATGCCATGAATATTCAGAATTGTAGTTTGACCAACCAGCCACCAGATGCTTTCCACCTGACTCACAACTTTGATGTCATTGGTGGATGCCGTCACCACGTGGTTTAATCTTTAATTCAAACCAGGATCTAAAAAAGAGGAAATAAAATTTGAAAACAAATGAATTGTAGATACATGTAGTTATCACTATTAAAAGGTTGAAACATGTATGTATAATCGTTATTTTTACTTGATATTTAATCTATTTCGTAAGTTACTGCATGGCTGAACAAGTAATAGGCTCATTTAAATAACTAAGTCAGAAATGAACTCAAGATGTAGATAAATTAATTTGGCATGCACTCGAAAATGTAGCCTCCAAGTCAGTAGCAGAACAGTTAGCCTTGTATTTCCCTCCACATGATCTACGTTTTCCTCTTGGAAGAATTACAGTTTTGGAATTCGTAAATGCAGGTCTGTGTCAGAAGAACTTGCACGTTTAAAACATTCATCCTAGCTTTGAAATACACATTTGAAGATGTTAGAACATCAACCTGCGTGGCCAGTCCACTGCATTTGTGTGGTGAAGACATACATGGTACTCTTCACCTACCATGGTTTTTTGCTTTCTGTTTGGTTTTTTTTTTGTCCATGGCTGTTGGAATGGCTTGTGGTGAACTTGCAGTTAACGAATGGGTTGTCAAAAAGGATTTCCTCTTCGAAATCTCACTGCTGAACCCGGATCATGAAAAAGCAAGTGTGCGTATCCACATCGCATTCATGCCATCAACTTATAGATCATGGTTTGGAGCACTTTCCATGTACTTCTGGAGGAATGAAATGAACAGATGTGTTCCTCACAGATTCACGGCCTGCTAGACTTGTGCGGCTTAAATTTTACAGGAATTTTTTCTCACTTTCCCAATGTCAAGCACAGAGTTTGTAGCATTCAAGCAAACATCGAAGAGCCTATTTGTGTTTTGCGTTTCTTCACCTTTTTTGCTGAAGATGTAGGTTTTATTTGTGTTTTTCACCAAAAAAAATGTACACGCTCATTGACAAGTTTTGGTTTTGATGCTTCTGCTATGTAGTCATATTACTAGTTCTATAATATAGAGAGGATATATTTGATTATGGCTGAGAGTCATCAAATATTTTGTGTGTGTTGTGGTTTGCTTGTATTGAATAAGTCTGGAGATAGACAGAATTCTTCCAGGTAAAATTTGTCCTGAAAAGCACATTGATTTGTCAAACAAAAATCAGGGTGTTTTTGAGGATTAAGTTAGATTGAACTTAGACATCCGTTGGTGATAAAAACCTTTTTTAAAATGGAGATCTGCAAAAAATGCAAGTTTTGTGTCGACTGTATTATGCTACAGAATATAGCACAGATTTCAAACAGTGATGGTGTTTATTGTTTTTACCTTGAACTTTTAAGAATGTAAGTTGCTTCATTTTATTCCATTTTGCAGTCAGTTGTAGATAATGCATTTGAAATGGCCAATAAGTTGAACATTTTCTGAAAGTTGTTCCACAATTGGCAGTGCGTAAGGTGGCTGTAGTATATAGTGTATGCTCATAACCAGTGAATCGAGTAAGCTACACAAAACTTTCTTTTGAATGAGAATTTTGTTGTCGTTGTAACAGTACAAGAAAAAAATATGAAAACTTTGGTAGAAACCAAACAACTAACTTTATTTTTGGCTGTGTCTGAACAAGTGATTTGTATCCCACCATGCAGATTGTTGTTAGTATGGATGGAACTTACCTTTCAGTTGATTGAACATAGGATGAACATCAAGAATGGAAATCATCAGACCAACTAGAGGACATTAGATAAACTATCTGTTAACCGCCCACTTTTTTGCTTCCCACCTGCCATCCAGACACCTAGATATCAACATCAAAATTCCGAAAATTCAGGTCATTGGAAAATTTGCAATACCATCCCCCTTAAAAAGGAATGCCAAGATAAAACTATGTGTATTTAAACTTTTTCTATGGGAGAAAAAGTACTTTTTGGTGGAGACATAACAGTAGATAAACAAATTGCTTTTGTAGTTTTGTCGTTTATTCATTGGTTGGTTACTACACGGCAGATCACATGTCCATCCGGTTATCAGTTCTCCAGTGTCGCGTTTGCTTTTCAGCCCCTGTTAGACACAAAAATGGGTCAGGTATGGGTTGTGTATGTGGCTAGAAGAACTGGTTGGTGGCATCAGCATTTTGTATGGATATTTCAAGAAGCCTCTGTATGTTTACCGCTACATCATGATGTGAAATGCTCAGAATGCTTCTGATAAATTGGCAAATAGTAAGTTAACAAGCCAATCTTCCAGGGGCTGTTACGCATCCCACATGCAAACCATTTCTAGTTGTTCATATCACCTCCATGCACAAATTTAAAGGGTGCTTTGAGACACGACACTGGTCAAAGTTTTTGGAGTGGTTCAGTGGTCATTGTTCTTAAGCAAGAGGGAATCTTGATCTCAGCCTGTAAGTTGCATTTTTGATTTTAGCTCATGAACCCACTGGGGTGGAATCATTGGAAGTCTTGTTGCATTAATAGAGGTCGGTAAACTGTATATGACTCTATATGACAACCTGTGAAATGTCCAGTTAACAGCCTACCGATAATTTTCAGGTTGCTGTTCAGGGGCAGTCAAGCCGAATCTCCTTTGGAGCTTTATATAGAGAGAGTAGCTCCAGCTTGAAATTTTTGGAAACAAAATGGCTGTTCACTCATCATTACTACAGTAGAGTGTGCGGCTGTTGTATACCTTCTTTGTGTGCTGGTGCATACACCTGCCAGTTTGTTTCCACCTGTGGTGTCACTCATGTCGCAACTCGCTCTGTCCTTAGCAAGTTGGCAAAAGCGAACAACAGATACAATTTTATATTCAAAGGTAACTCATTCGTCTACTTTTGCACAATGTTCACGTATGCTTTTTCCCAAACAGTTTGAGTTCCAGTGATCTTTGTCTCGTATTTTCTCCCAAACCCTAAAGCTATTTGAGGCTTCCTTGCCCCAGAAAATTGCAGTATTTAATTTTTAAAGTAAAAAATAATATCTGGGATTGGTAAACTTTCTACAGACTTGTTTGAAATAATATTAAACAAGTAATTATAATGCTATGTATAAAGTGATATTCTCTGGTATCCAAGTTCATTTAGATACTTTACATGCTAAGACTGTGACGTAATGTTTTAACAAGATTTGTAGCTTTCTCCATTTTTTTTCACAGTCACGAGGCATCTGTTTGTTACTTGTGAGTTCATATAGTCATTCTAGGTGCACTTTGAAGGCCGGTTTAGTTCTGTTAGTTGATGGTTTTTCGACTAAGGGAAAAATGCTCTGAAATATAGTGACATGCGAAATATGAACCTTTTAAGAAAGGTTTTGTTGCATTTATGGAGATGAATCCTAGATTTTTTTTTCTGTTCTGTAATTAGACAGATTTAGTGATGAGGTTCTTGTAATATGTGATGATTGGATCTGAGTGTAGAATGATAAAAGTAAAGATTGCCGTAGCTGTACTTGGCAGGCTTTGGTGGAGAGTAATCATGTCTTACTCAACTTGGTATGTTTTATTTGCAAAGTGTTTTGAATACAACAAATCTAGGCGTTTGTTCCCCCTCTGCTTTCATTCAGCACTGGAGCTTTTTAAAACAGGAATCAACAACGACAAGTGATTTATTTAGGAATTTTTACAGGTAGAGAAAAATGAGCATGTGTATTTTACCAGGTAAATGCCAAATTACTTGAAGTTTAACAACTCAAAAAGTATTCGTCCATGTATAAACAATTTAGCCACAAACAGGGCTCAAAAAGTGGATAACATTCATATTCTATTGTCAGAAAATACCATTTGTGACATTGTGACTAATTAAGAAAAAATATATTAGGTATGTGATATAGAACAGGGAATACTAAACGATAACAGGTGAATTCTAGCCGCATCCATTAAGGTTTGCCAAGAAACAGCAGGCCAAGATATCCCGCTTCCGTATTAAAAGAAACGCTGTACATATTGCTATCTGCCAAAATACATGTATAAGGTTAACTGTAAAAAGTAATTAGTGGCCTAATAATTGTGTCTTAACCTTTGTGCTGCAAATATTTTTCCCGCTTATATATAGCAAACACTATAGGAATGTTTTATGTTAATCAATTTGGAACAAAATATGCAGACAAGTAGAGGTAAGTATGTACATGATGTTGTGTACATGTTTTATGTATATATTCACAGGATTACCAGCCGCTCTGCCCACATACGGCATGGAATGTAATACTGTTATTGTGAATGGAGGATGATAAAAATCAGTGGGGAAAAATCTGGTGGTGTCCATTGTCTCTTGATCTAGTCTGTATTCTGTTGGAGGAATTGGTGCGAAATTGTGCCCCGTCTAGATTTAGGCGGTTCACTGCATGTTGAAAAGACTTTTCTTTTAAAAATATTTTTCGTTTGCTTCTTCGGTAAGACCCTGTCCTGTGCGAATATCGCCCTGCTTAAGAGCCGTCTGGAGATGACCTGCACCCAGCAAGCGGAGCCAGGATTTTTACCGCGGGGGTAGGGTGGGGGTTGGACATTTCTGGTTTGTCTTATTCATTTCTTAGTTTTGGGGGTTTGTTTTTTAGTCGATTGTTAGGAATCACTCGTCATTTTTAGATGCTTGTAACCACGAGTTGAGCTCTGAATTGAAAAGCGTCACCATCATGAATAATTTTTAGGGTTTTATTTGTACAAGATTTTTTGGGAAAATTACTCGGATTTCACGGATCCCCTCTGAATGCGGCCCCTAACATTTCAGCTCGATCAAGTGTAATTGTCGATCTTTTCAAGATCCTGTTTGTTCTACAGCTTGTTGATCTCTTTGATATCCTAATGATCTCTTTGTTGGCGCAATGAGCAGTCCGTGAACCACCTGCTTTTCCCGCGCCCTGGGCAACGGGCCCTGTTTATCTTATAACTGGATGTGGGATTGTTTCGTCATGCAAGATTGAAGCAGACAAAACTGGCTGCTCATCACTATTACCGTATTATGTACACAATGTGCACGCCTTGAATAGAAAGAGGTCGCGAATACTCGAAGGAAACTACATCTGCAGATGAACTCACAGAGAGAAAAGTAAGCACGTATTAACGTTGGGACTACGTTTTTTCGGGAGGCAATGTCCCAGATAAATTCCTCCTTATCGAAGTGAACCGTTGTTCTCTCGGTATACAACGCATTTATACATATTGGTTAAAATTTGCGCTATACAAAATTAATGGACAGGTTATAACTATTAATGGCTTGGGAAACTGGCAAATTGCCGTTGGAACTTCAGAGAAGCTGAAAAATAATATAAAACATATATTATTAAAAAAAAACACTTCTGGCAGTTTGATTGTATATACTTGTATGCCACAAATGTGAGAATTTTATGTTTCTGACACTGCCACTACAATGAATATAAGTTCGGCGAAACTGTTAAAGTTTTTCGGCTGTGTTTCTCTTAATAGAATGATTAAACTCTTATTATTAAGACCCAGTCACACACCACCACTCACTGCGAAACGTCATGGCCAATCGGTTTCTTTCTTATATATCGTCTTTGGCAAAAGCCGAAGTTAATACTTGGCAAGCGCTGGTTGGAAGTTTTCCGCGTTGAAAAATGCGCCGCGTTTATTTTGCCAGCCATTCATCGCGTACTGCTGCCATGCTGAGCCGGCCCTTCGTGTGCTAAGGTTTTGTTTTGCTTGTTGTCTTCACATAACAGTGTCAAGAGTGTTGGAATTTGGAATTCGAAGATGACACAGGTCTGTTTTTTGCCAGTGAAATGCTCACCAAAATAATGCGGATAGTGCAGCTGCTCCTGGACATTGGAGGTTACATACATGTATTGTGGTGCTGTGAGCAATGTGAACGGACAGCGCCACAAATTCGAGGCCAATCTGCAGTAAAGGCTTGGTTTTACGAAAAAAACAACAAGAGTTTGCATGGTTTGAACCTCCATGGTTTGAACGTTGTGTATTGACTATGAGTGTGCAAAGTGCAACTGGTGGATACTTTAACCTTTGGGGGTCAAACAGTGTAGCCTGATGACGGACAACTCTTGCTAACTTACGGAGGGGCAGTGTCACTCATATCCTCTAGATCTGGGTGAGTAATGTGATCGTTATAGAAATAAGTAACGTCTGTGAGTGTGACCGTATAATTGATACATTTCGCCACCTTTTGACAAGTCTCGTAATAATGCCGAAATAATGGACCTGGCGACTATGCAACAAATGACGTTGACCGGCGGCTGTAACGTGTGAATGGAGTTCCTTCCTGCGTGGTGTGATGTGACTTAGTATGTGCGGTGTGGTCCGTGGTGTGCAGACCGTTTTTGTTTTTGTTTTTTTTAATGAAGACCAGAATATGGGTCTAAAGTTGTCTTTTCGACTAAATAACGCCAGTATCATGCGTGAAGTTTAATCCCTGTTCTGACCACAAACTTTCTGTGGTGTTCAGTCATTGACCTTTTCCATCCTCAGAAATGTACGTGTTTACATTTCAATAGAGGGCGCTAAATAGTCACACCGTGAAGAAAGAAACACCATTGAGTCTCGTGTAGGTCTATGCTTGAGCGCTCTCCATATAACTTCCTATAGCCAAGGATAGTGAGAGCTATGTTAAGCCCCTGACCTTCCCCCTGCATTATGTGTCTCCACTGTACAGCAAGAACCCTTTACTGACGAAAGGCTGTAAAAAGAAATTCAAACACAATGAAATGAGCCGTAAATAACTGGAAATAAAACGCAGTTTCCCAAAGCGTCATTTATTTCTCATGTGAATTAATTTTAATCAATTTAATACAATAATAAACATGACAATAATATCGCTTAAACTGCTCTTGCCTCGGATTTGAAACCATTATCGAAAATATAAAGTCACATTCTGCGCGAGCAGAAGATAAATATTTTTTTTAATCATGCATGTGGACAAGAAATAAACTATAAAACAAAAACAAAGCTACAACACAAATGCAGAAGTGCAAAGGATTGTGGGTAATCGTCTATATAAGGGATTTTGATGTTACGCATACTGTTAAAAAGCTATTTCAAATGACTTCCCCCGTAACAGATCTTTTACTAGAATCCTAATATGGCCTTTTCTTTCCAATTAGAGGTTTAATTCCGAAGGATATTTTTCTAACAGGTTTAAGTCATTAGAGGTGTTTAATTTTATCCCTTGTTTCCAGTTTCGAAAAGTCGTGAGAAGAGTCGTCTTGAGAATGCGAAAAATAATTGCTGCATGCAACTAGACTCTAAAGAATAAGATACTGAAACCGAGCCTGCGGCAATTCATTTTCATGCACACAACACTTCGCTGGTTATCCTGCCAGACACCACGTTTACAATATTTATTAATTCACTGATTACTTTCTTTACAAATAAATACAACTATCAAGTGACACCTTTGTGTTTAGACGCTGGTAGTTGCCATGGATAATTATTTGTTGAGGAATAACTATGCATGAAAGGTACAACCGCACAAAATTAGTCCATACTTCACATCTCCTACTCGAATCGTAGTTCCATCATTTCGCTCGAGTTGGCCATTCACATTTCTGAGAAACCGAACTTGTTAGATTGCAGTAAAGTGATGTCAGTCACTGTAGCAACGACGTCGGTGTTTGAAAACATCAAAATAATTTCATTAGACTTCAAATTCCCTCGACAATATTTGAAATCTTTACCAAACAGAGATCCAAAATAGTGTAATACCCCATATTACACGAGAGAAAGGAAAAATTAAATATGACTTGGAGAACATTATTGCAAATTTGGAATATCTTTCACTGCCCCGTAGTAAGCATCAACAGCTTAAACTGATAGGCTTGCATTATGAATTACACTGTGGGAGAATATGATGTCACAGATTTAGAAGTATGTTTGTGACAAGTTGCAAGCATCTGTGTAACACCGTGATATTTTCTGACAATGACATTAATTAGGCATATGTCTGAAGTAAACAGCAGTCAATGGGGAAAAAAGTTGATATTAATTCGAACACATGATTAGAATAACATACATGTACACCGTAAAATATGTGACTCATGATGATTTAAATAAACTGAGTGCTACCTCAAGAAATTCTTATTTTTAAACTTACACATCGACAAAAAAATTCAAACACTGATGACTAATGGTTTTAAGGCATCGTTTTTCATCTTACCAAAGTAAGTCCAACAAGAAATGTCTTGATGATATTAGTCAGGTCTTGCTGTGAGTGAATTTTGATGAGCATTTTACTCATGCGGTAGTGAGCATAATACTTTGAAGAGGTAAAATGACAAACAATCTTTTGTTGTGTCTAAAACAGCGTATGTTTAGTTTCAAATATTTCATTGTTGCTGTCATGAAATTGACATGAATGGGATATGACAGTTTGACATACTATTTTCAAAACGTCATCTGAAGGTAAGAAAATTTGACTATTATAAGATCTTGTGAAAAGTTTGCCCGAGGACAAACTGATCTATTGATGGCTTCAAACTGCGTGGTACAAACTTTAATGCTCAATTTCTTTTGGAGAGTTATATGTATATTACACAGAAGACACACAAAACCAAAATTAACTTTGTTGCTAATATCTTGTAAAGGTTTCCCTCTATAAGAAAAAAAATGCAGTCATTGAAATTAATATTACTCAATTATTTTCGACAATGCCACTGTTGCCAATCGACAAAAGCTTCCTTACACCATATCTCCGTAGTTAACTCGTTCAAACCTCGCCTATTCTATCCCCTACGAAGCTACTTCTAATTTAAAAACCGTTCCACATAATATAGCCCAATAAAAATGGCAGGAAAATTCAAAATTCCTATCTCCATTAAAGTACTGCAAAGGACTCGTGTTACTTCTGTATAGTATTGTATACCAGCAACTTTAATATCATTCTACAACTACAAATAATTCATGTGTACAATTATACATATTAAGGGATTAAACGTGTGATGACGATAGAGGGGCGTGGCTTCTGTTAGTTAACCGAATCTCAACATCAAGACGCCATTACACTTTAGTTCTATTCATAAATACACATATCAAAATTCTTCAAAAACAGTGAAGTGCCTTCATTTGGAACCCAATCCCTTTTCAGTGGTTTTTATCACGTGTGCATGCGTATACCATTTTCTTTACATGGGACCGTTTGCAGGTATCATTTTGTGAACACTTTGCACACTCATTTAAGTCTTAATTTTTTAAACTGACCCGCTACAATGAACGTACCTGTCATTGGACAGGCTCATAGGCAATAGGAATATCTTATTCCTTTCGGTATTTATGAACATTTAAGAGGTATACAGACTTACTCTGGCTTACAATGTGAACCTTTTCAATATTTTAGCAACAAATAAGCTATTCAAAACTAGAACAACAGCTGTGTATTTTGTTGACCAAATAGGCCTACTGTACTTTTACACATACGGAATATCTTTTATGCATTTGAGGCTCTATAACTGGTGTGATCATGCAGTCATGCTAATATTGCATGCCATCGTCGCAACTGTCTTCCATCATTAGGAAGTTTTTCACCTGTCAAGCCCAATTCACAGAACCAAACACTCATGAAAGCTCTGGAATCTTCAAACAATAAGTTCATTAATACATGTAATTATTTACAAACCGATGGGACTTTCGCGATATGGATTCCGTGCGTATTATCAAGATACAAATATCTGTAACCAAGGTTGCAGTATACTGATTATTGATCGTCAAAGGAGCATGCTTGCATTGACTTGAATTGTAAGCTGGGGCCAATTTCATAGAGCTGCTTTAGCACAAAATTTGCTTAAGCGCGAGAAAACTTTGCTTAATAAATCAGGTAACCAGCCAAAACTCTATTTGATGTATTTTGTTTGGGGATCGCATTTAGTTGTTTTTTGGTTGGCGTGACAATCAGACAGAGTTTGAGCTGGTGACCTTTGTTTTTTTCGGCAAGGTCTTTTCACGCTTAAGCAATTTTTGTGCTTAAGCAGCTCTATGAAATCGGGTCCAGATCGTTTCTGGTCAGCGTTATTATGACAGATATAAATATTTGTTCGACAGTGCTGCCTGTTCTTTGCGAGGTTCTCAGTGACTGGATTTCAGCAATCAAACCGGGATTTCAATCCGCATTGTTAATCATAATATGGACACAATTTGAAAACGTCAGTTCTTCAGCCTACTTACATCCTTTCCTTGAAATTTTCATTACAGCATAATATAAAAAATATGCCGCAAAACAGTTATGAGAATTCAAAATATTACACGGATAAATTCAGTGTTTCACTGTAAATAAATAATCTATTTTAATACCTGATTTTTTTGTCGAACGAAAATGTAAAATTTGATTAAATAATTCCCATCTGACACAACATTAAATAATATACATATTAACCAACAATGTGACAGTAAATACAAGTAATATTTAGGACAATAGCTAAGTATTTAGATAAATATGAATACAGTAAGGTTTTCTGTAGTTGACGGAGCAAGGAGACAAAGTTATAAATCTGTTATAAATTCAACTCACTCCAAAGACGGGAAGGTGAGCAGTGGCTTAACAATATTTTGCTTTATTACAAAGGTTCAGCGGAAATAACTAAGAAAATCATCTAGTGACGATGGTCCTGCTGGTATTGCATCCTTATTAGTGAGGCAGCTCTGACCTACACTTGTGCTCCACTCCAGGCTGGGATCTTGTTTTGTCAATCAGCACGTTGCGCGCTCATGGAGGTGCCGTAGAGGAGAGCCAAGTAATACTGTTGGAGCTGAGGTTGGGTCAAACCTTAGTGGTGCTCTCCAACGCGTTTTCCACAACGTCCTTATTATTGCGTGAAATGCTGCCGAGGTGGTTGAGATGGGTGGTGCTGTGTCTGCGCTTACGCCTACTACTCCCACGTTTCTTATTACTGCTGATGCTGTTCCGCGGACTTCCCAATAATGGCACTTCGGGATCTTCGTCAATGTACCGAATAGGTTCATATCGTTCCCACTCCGGAGGATACATGTAAGAGGCAATATTTGCCGGTAGTGAGGGCGACTTCGGCTTGTACCTGTTCTTAGTGGAGGGCGACTCCATCTCTCCGGTGTCGTAAATAGGCATTGAATTCATCTCTGAGTTCCTGGAGTCCAGCAAATCCTGCGACGCGGCTTTACAGAGCTCGGAGCAGCCGGATTTGACGGACTCCATACTGTCCGGCCGCGACAGGGGCTTCTTGACGATCTCGTGCATCTTCTGATACATCTGGGTACCCACTTTGGTGTCGGTGGGCCCGTTGGCTATCCGGTGTTCCATGTCCTGCATCTTGGAGTCCATCCCGGACAAGGCTTCGAACATCTCGTACTTGAAGCCGGAGATGTCCTGCTTGATGCGGTTGACCCACTGCTCCTGGTTGCCTTCCTCGTCGTCGCGTTTGGCGTCGAAAATGTACCGTTTGACCAACTTGCCCATGATATCCTGCAACAAAGCAAGACCAAACTTTGTTTTATCAGTAGCCACCAACCCTTTGAGTATGAAAAAAGTGTGTGCCAACTTACACTGGCCTGTTACCAACATGGCCGTCAGAAGCTGTATCTATTTCCACCTTGCTGATGATAAGAACAAAGTCAGTGACAGTTATTCCCACCATCATAAAGTTGTCATTGACATTGATGTTCATGACCCCCAACCTCTTCAATCCTCCAAAATTCTCTTAGCGATTTTGGAGAAGTGAGGCTGAATGGCAGAAAGCGTATACCTGATTGCGAAGGGTGCATGGTACCAAGGTGTTGTGTCAGTGTGTTGTTTCATGCTAAGACGTGCATAAACTCAGACCCAGATTACAGGCGAAACCATCCCCACTACTCGAGGAAATCACCCCCCCTGGCTCAACTTAATGATTGGAATTGGCCAGAGGCGTTTGAAGGCTTGAGGCTGTGGCTACCCCTCCAAGTAACGAATTCAATAAATAATGGAGGATTTTTTTAGAGGATAAGGTTGAATCCAATATGATTCCACGTTGAAGCCATGGAGGCACTTGGAGGATTGTGAAGGACTCATGTGGTATCCTAGTTAAGGCTCTAGAAGTTAAATACCGCAGTGTCGTCAAGTTTACAGAGGCTTATACTTGTCATCGTCAGTATTCCATGACTACTAACAAAAAGTTGTCTGTAATATTACTTGCATTAAAGAACAATTCAAAACTCTGAACTTACCCTGTATTGTTTCTCTCTTTCCTCCATAAAAGCCTTACTTCTCTCCTGGAAGAGAAAAACGCAAATTTGTAAACTCTCAATGTGATTCATCCTTGTACTTCAAAATCTCTCTTTGGAGTTGTTTATATTAACTCGCAGTTCACATACGTCACCTCAGAATTAGGCTGGGGGCCGCCAAAGGGTGAACTGAACGTTTTAGCTTGCTTATAGTCTTCAAATGAGAAATAAAGGATCAATCACTCTCTCCCTCAACGATCACCTTTTTCTCCTGTCGAGATTGTGCGCCGTGCATTCTGTCCCACGTCCATTTACAGATGTACCCGATGGTTTTGGGCGTCGGGATAGCATTAAAGGGAGGTGGTATGGTCCCACGACCCTCAAAGTACGTCATCCACAGTTTGGACCGTGAAAACTTCCACTGGATCTCTGCATCTTCCTGTGGTTAAAGTTTGTTATTAAAAGTTCTTGGTTTTAGAACTTGTATGTGGCACACAAAACATCCAGGACTGAAAAGGGACAAATTTATCGGGGAATATCAAAGTGTCCAAGAAAAATCAGTTTATCCTTGCTCTGAGTTTTTTGTTTCATTGTCTGGCGCCGTCTGTTGACATTGCTTGATTTATATTTTTAAGTGTTCTTTGTACATTTTATACATTCTCCATTGTTGTCCATATTCTGGTAAAATGGAATTTTATGAGGGCGCTCCCGAAAATTTTTTATAAGAGAAGGAAAAAGCTCGAGAAATCCTGAATTGTTCAAACTTCACCTTAAAACTTAAACAGTTAAAACTTCAATATTTATAAAGTTTGCCAAAGCAAACTTCACTCAGTTACAGGGCTCAGAAATATGTAATCTCTTAAGGAAACAGTTGATACAATTATAGTCAAATATTTTGGGACCTACCTCAATACGGGTGTACGTGTTGCTCATCATGGCAATCAATACATTCATAAGAACAACAATGGCTATGATGTGATAGACAGCATAAAGTCCAACGCCCACGCCCTCCGTAAACGTATGAGGCACGCCCTTCAAATCCAAAATTTCTAAATCAGGAAGACCGAACAACGCCCAGAAAAGAGTGGCCATGGTTTCTGGAAGACTACAGCAGGAAAAAAATATCAAATTGAAATTAAGAATGTTTTCTTTTACATATATGTTAACTTTACAGTTTGGGATTGACAGTAAAGCACAACCAGAGCGTTGGGATATATTGTGATTGTTTCAATGCTTATGTAAAATGACCCTATTTTGCGGAAGCGTTATACAAACTCTGACTGAAGTGTACATTTGAACGCCTTTGCTGATACAGTAAATATTTTGATCATTGAAGACGTCCATGACTGGCGGAACTTTACAGATCGTTTACGTTCTAAGTTGCATCTCCCACGGTCCTTAGGTTGCCGCCATTTTTTATGTCACGGTAGTCCCCATTCGGGCATTCCGTGGTGACTTGGCTTTTGTTGTTGCTAGTAGTACGATACTGTCAGTAGCCGTTTCCATTGCAAACAGTGTGCGTGACGGATACGGCCTGAAATCAACGCTGGATGATTGCACAGATTCGTGCGTGGGACATGTATGACGTCATTGCAAACGGTCTGACAGCAAAGAAGGAACATTAGAACTTACGAACTGAAATACATTCTGCAGGTGGAGCACTTGGCAATCATTTCGGAGGCATAGTACCCGTAGAGTTGATTCATACCCAGCGAGAAGGCAAACAGGACAAACAAGAAGATGAGCATGAACTTGGCAATGTCGAACATCATGCCGCCCAGCGAGATTTGCATCGGCCCCACGTGGCGATTCATCACGGTCAAGCTGATGGGACGCAAGAAGCTCAACACTTTGGCTATGGCGAAGAGCCCCTCAGAGATGAGCATGGGATCATCGCTGTTCCACGTTGCCCTGCTGCCCGTTCGGTTGTCGGATGGCGTGTAAATGTACGAATCCCCGGAGCTTGTCCTCCGTCGGCTGCCCGTGCTTCCTCCGAACGCGCCCCCGTCGTTTTCCTGGGACTCGATGAACGTGGCCATCCTGCTGTCCAATTTGCTGATAGTGCCGTCAATCAGTACCAGTTTATCGGCGATTTCTCCGTCCTTATTTTTCTGGTCCTCTTTCAAGATCTCTATCTGAGTGGTCAACTCCTGGATTGCCTGCAGAAGATGCTCCGAGTCCACTTCTGAGTGTGACAGCAAAATAGAAAATTTGATATACATGAAATTCGGGTACAGCGAGCATCGCTGAAATTGAATTGTGGGTATTCAACTAGGGTTTTCTACCAAAGCTGGGGTCTTCATGTATGAATATCATTTCCAAAGAAATCTTAAAGACTTTCTACATTGATATTTCACGTGTTCTCAGTCATCAGGCTTGGCGTTAAACCAGTAATTCCTTCACTATGAGCTAATATTGATTCACTATAAATAGATATTGCATACTCAAAAAGTGTTCTAATTAATTAGTGTTTGTTTTCACTTTTCCTAATGATCGTGTTCAAAATGTGGTATTAAGTAGCAAATAACACTGTCTCGTCCTCGGGCCAAAATCGTCCTACCTGGGGGCATACTGGACGGTAACTCCCCACTGGGCGTGAAATCATCTTCGTCATCGGTAGGCGTCCATATTGTCATGGTGTCCGTCGTAATTGGGTGCATGGTTGTGTTAGCCGTGCTTGCCATTAATGCATTTGTTCTTTCCAGAGCCTTGAGTGACGAAAAATTGCACCACAACGAGTTATCAACGCTAGAAAGAGCCCGCCAGCAAACCATTGAAATCGATAACAGTGTCTTTGAATTCGCCACAGTAAGATTTTCGTTTTGTATAAGGAGATTTATTTATTAGCCGTTGTCACTTCCATAACGATTTCAACGGTGCTGATTAGAAAGAACAAGAGTTGATGCCAATGGCAAAAGCGGTCTGTTTCTGGAATTCTGTTTCTGCTTTGTCCCTGCTTATATGATTTTCAATTAAAAAATGACTCTTTAACCTTGCAAACTGAAGGAAAAGGATGTATTCAGCCGGTTAATGTCTGTACCTTTGGCTCACTGAATGAAACTGACAAGTTACTGTGGGATTACCTGCAGGTACACGACCACTCTGAGCGCAATGGATGCCCAGTAGAGAGATAGGGTGAGGAAGTCTAAAATATTCCATCTATCTGTGAGATACCTCGAGCCATAGTACCATAACTCTTTTATCTCGGCCCAAGTTAAACCTGCAGAAAGTAATAGATTAGCAGTGAATCAGGAATCGATGTAAGATGACTTGCTAGCGCCTAATACATGCAGTTATTTTACTGGGTATTAAATTTGATTTTAATGCATTTATACGGCCATTTTTGACAGTGAAGGGAACTTTTTTGTTACCCAGGAAAGAGATTAGTTTTGTTACTTGAAAATTGGCTGTTAGTTTAAACTTCTACAATTGAAATGATTTTTGTGCAACGTGGCTGTCCTTGGAAGCATAGCATTACTTTTGTTGACTATTTTCGCAAAGAGGCTGAGGACTCTTGTCTTGTTTGGGGTTCAGTGGGTCCCAGTCTGGATTTCAAGCCTTCTAGTTCAACAAAGATAAACGGTTCCTGAGTCTTTTCTGCGTCTCTACGGAATCGGGCCAGAATGTGACTCTGGCATCTTACCGATTACCCAGCAGATAACCAGCCACTCAGTAAACGTGGGTTCAAGAGTTCTGGAATCCACAGGATTGCCGTCCGCGTCCTCGTCTTGTCCCCCCGACGACTGGAGACCCAGCAGGACCAGGAAGAAGAGACCGGAGGAGGTGTGGCAGACGAACTGGACATGTGGTATCCGCATGAAGGCGCCCACTTTGCCCCAGGGGTAGATGATGTAGAGGATGCTGAGGATAGGGAAGCAGATGGCCACTATGGCTGAGAAGAAGCTGGAGGAGAGCCAGTTGGAATCGTACCAGCGGGGGAGACCCTCGTACCACAGCTGTGTGAGCCTCTGCTGGCAGTGAGGATGAGCTACAAACTGTGGATTCATCAAACACACGCGACGGAATTAGAGATCCCAGAGGGTCCATTAAAGGAGCCATCTTCCAGTAGCCAAAAGGGTAACCAAAGAAACTACCGCCATTGTCTATCACTTTAATCTTTGATGATTCAAAAATGCAGATTAACATCCATCGTTACCGGTAAAGGGTACACAAAGTCTGAATTGTATAATTGTGATATAGGCAGTTGACTTTCCTTGAAGTGCTCGAAGCACTTAATGTCTACAGTGTATATATATTTTTTGTACCGTTTCATCTGAAACTTTGAGGCCCCGGAATCAGTATAATTCAAAAGCAACGTTAATATAATAGTCACGATCATGATACTAACCTTCCTCTGCTCATAGTGAATGGCGATCTTGACTTTGTAAGGCCCCACTCCGTTGCCCTCCACGTACGCTCCCCAGAGGTAGGGGTCGTGGTACAGTATACATGTCTGCTCCTTGTGGTTGCGAATGTGGCCGAGGATGTCGGCCGCGAACTGCTCGCACTGGCCGGCCAGCTCCACGAACTGCTCCGAGAATTCCGGATTCTTACGGGACAGCTTACGCAGCTTGACGCACATCTCGAAGGCCGTGTGGATGGGGTCGGCGCTGGTCAGTGAGATGTAGGCCTGGGAAGCCAGGGCCCGGTAGATGTTGAGCATGCCAAGGGAGTGCTGGAGCGTCTGGGTCTGGGTGCTGAAGGCGTAGAACTCGGGGTCCTCGATCCGGGCTCCATACTCCAGGAGGATCTTGATGATGTCGTAGTTGTTGTGATGGGAGGCCAGTACAATCGGGGTAATGTCCGGGTGGAAGTCGCCGTTCAGCGCGCGGCAATTCAAGAATTCCTGGAAGAAAACATCATTCGAGGAACAGACAAATTGAGAAGATGCTGAAGTCAAACATGGAATAAAAAGTTTCTTTTTTCCCTGTTTTTCCCGAAGATTTTGTACTCTTCCGTAAATTCTACATTTCTAGAGCACTGCTACCCCGAAACTCCACTCGTATTTACTTTCGAGAAAGCAGCATTCCCAAATGACAGGTAAGTCATACTGTTTTTCACTGTACAAAGACAAAGAAAGAACCATACGAAACTAAAACAGGTACACAATCACGGTGCCATAGCAGATATTCAAGCTTTATGGAATTTTGTCAAGCACACAACACTATGCTAACACTACAGATTCACGGAAAAATCAGAATTTTTTTTAAGCAATCAACCCCCTTTTGTGTTAGGCCAGCAAATTTAAATATCTCCCTGAGGATCTCACAAATAACAAATAAAACGACTTTGCACTGTGGCTTCGTGGGCAGTACACATTTGAGATCATAAACAAAATACTCTACAACCTATCCTTTCAATCGTACGCCCAGGAGACAAATAAATATGCATGCGTCAGTTACGAATGAGCAGGTAAACTGCCGGCCTGCCTTGTAATCCATTAATATAGCCCCACCAGCAATTTATCACTTTCTTCTGGGCATCCCCATGACGGCATGTTTACTAATTAAGGGATTAGTTAACTGGTAATTAATCAATCACTTTAGCCCCAGCATTTTTGTTTTTTTAGACACGAATGCCCCCCAACGGTCAAGGTCTTCGTATATCTAATGCATGTGTAATGCGATTATCTATCGTCTCTCGGTACTCCTTCGAAAGCTCTTGATCGCCTGGTAATCATGTTATCAAATTATCCTTAGAGCAGGTAATCCAAAGACGCTTCCTCAGTATATGATCCCTCTCTCCTCAGCTGCTTATATATTATAAAGACTAGAGGTCACATCCGAGGCTGGTGCGGAGGAAGAAACACGGCATTGCAGACAGATGAAGTAGTAATTCAAGAGTATCTCAAAACAGTTACCTTTGCTGTACCCATTTGTAACGAGGTCCCTGTTTGAGCATTAATTAAACCTTCATTCAAGTGGAGTTGGTAGTGAATCAAGTTGCACCATAGGCAATGTGTTACTGGAAAAATCAAGTACACTTGGTTAACTGCATTTACGGACTGCTTGCTTGCATATTTTGCCCCCTCTCGAGCGCAAATGTGAAAAGGAGTTTATGTAAAGCTTGGATATGATGCGACCCCTCTAAATAATGTCTAAAGTGAGAAGCTTGTGTGGTTTTTACATTCGAGTTTAAAATAGTATGCAGAATTCACTGGAAACTCATATTGATTAGAATCTGTGATGTTGGCGTAAGCGCTGATTTAGAAGAAGTCGTAAATCTTACCGGGATGTTCTTCTGTTTGATGTACTCACAAATCATCTGCGCGGCATTCGTAAACTGTTCGTCCACTGCCCGCAAGAGGGCGTCCCCCAGTTGTACGCTGTGCTCTAGTAGCAACTTAATAATATCTGTGGAGAGGCAAATTCGGATAAAATATGATTGATGGTGGCATATGCTAGCACAAAGTGACTGGTAAAATTATTACCTTATTAACATTTTGTGTTGTGATCGGTTTGGGTGAAAATTGTGCTCCCAGAAGATGACATTTGCAGACTCACTTTGTTACCCCCCCCAAAAAAACCCACAAACAAAGACTAAACGAACAAACACAATCGCTTTTAAATTATCTCCTGGGGTTTTCCTTTGATTTTCGTCGGACATAACTTATTGAATTAATTTGAATGGACAGTGTATGAAAAAAAAATGGAAAAACTGAGTTTAGTTGTATGAACAGTTAAGAATGTTACTGTTTAGCCTTAACTCATTTCATGTGAAATTCCCCAGCCCACAGTAATCCGTTTAGTCACACAGCTATGGATGGCAATGACGGAACCATTTCCCCCCATTGAGATCTCGCATAGCCTAAAAGCCCATGCCCACACACAAAAACGCCCGTATGTCAGCCGCTCTGCTAATTCGGTAATATCGTTTTCACTAAGGGCATATGATACCCGAGGGCTAGACGGCAAGACGACTTGATTAAGCTGAATAAGTGCACTGCCCCCGGCCAGCGCAGTGGTAGGGGCGTGGTCATGGAAACACCACGTCCCTCCTATTAAGTAGTTGCTAATGGAAACCTTTGTACCCACACTGAAGGTCGATCACTCGTTTTCTTATGTAAAATAAAATTGTACTCCATTGTGTCCACTAATATTGGCAATTACTAATGATATGCAGTTGTTTCGAAGTAATATTACAGCCAAATGGAACTTTAAATTTTTAAAGGGCCATACGAGTATTATGATGCGGAAGCCAGCATAGATCATTCTTTCTGTCGTGTTTAATAAACTATAAAAACAAATAATATGTTCATTCTCGTTCTGCCATTTTCATGTGACATAGTTGACACGAATTCTTCCTATTGTAAACAATATGAAGCAGGTGTAAATAACCATACGTTTGTGTGGGTAACTTTGCTCCAACTTTCATCACTATGACCCAAGCTTAAATCCCCTAAGTTGGGCTTCTTGGTCAGTGTTTACGTCATTCAGCAGTTTAGAAGTACATTCATGCTGACAAGTTCATTTCCCTCTATGTCTCATTGGTAATTTACACGGGCCGGAAAACACTCACACCGATTATGCGTTACGTCTTTTCATATTATGTATGCATTTCCGGTCGGTGTGACAAGATAAACGTTGTTTGAACCTCTTAGTGAGTCCACCTTTAATCATAAAAAGCCCCTTTGTAACTGTTTAAAAGCTGCCTAGTTTGAATTTACGATGTTAAGTTTGATACGCAAAGAAAAGCCCCATTGTAACTGTTTGAAAGCTGCCTAGTTTGAATTCAAGATGTTAAGTTTGATGCGCAAAGAAAGAGCTTTGAAATAGTGACTACATGTACATGTGAAATGACGGATAATTCTCTTCTGGAGATCCAACCTTGAGAGGAGGGCAAGCCTGTACCTCGTCTTAACAATCAGTCTTCTGCCGTCAAGGTAACCTTGACCCAGTTGAAAGCTTATTAACCTGAAACCCTTGTCTACATGCAGGTCGACTGGATAATTTGCTGTACCATTATTACGTGAATAGTACCATGAGCAACACCTTGGTATTCAACAGTTAGGCCTAGGTATTCATGGCAAGGGAAAGAGGCACATTAACACTGATTCAGACCGAAACGAGTAACCATTGCAAACGATCGAAAACGATTCCCTACCCAGTTGTAAATCATTATTAGGTATTTGTGTACTGTGGAGAAGTAGGTGATAGATCCATTCCAAAAGGAATAAAATGCTGAACTTGATCTCACTAATAAATTGAATTTGTAAACGCAAATTCAAGAAGAAAAATATCGGTATTTCCTCCCTTTTAACCAAAACATGTTCCTAGATCCTTAATCCTTTAAGAGGCTGTACGCCCCGATTGAGGTGGAAGAACAGGAGCGATAGGAAGCAGTGCGGTCAAGACTATCTAAATTTGCCTGTTATCGTGCCACGTGTTATTGATTCAATTACGTCGTGTCGCAGCGTTGTTCTTTACCTTCGACAACTACGACAATCCCCTCTGAAACCAAGGCAACATATCGATCACTTTTAGGATGCAGTATCGGTTCGGCGTGGCGCAGCGTTTGCAAAAAATGGCGTTAGAAATCGTTATTCGGGCGGTAATGAATTGGCCCGCAAGGCTGTGATCCAATTAGTACTCCACAGGTCACGACCCTCTTGTTCTAATTACAATGAACCAGGGTCGGGGATTCTACAAATAAGGGATTTGAAAGGTAAACTGACATTCAGTCTTGCTTCTGGTAGGAATGAAGTTGTGATTGATACCTCGCTGGTAGCCAACTTGAAGCACTTAAGAGAGTAAGCAATGGCTTAAATATCCAGCCATAAATGTTATGCATTAAAACTTCATCTGACAAATCTGATGTAGAGACTGTTATACATGCAACTTAAGATGTCCATTGTAATTCGTCATACTTTCCCTGAGCGCCCCTTTATTTGCACGTCATAAGTAACCGTACTTTGGCAGTGCTAATAATTATGTGCCACTGGTTTACGCGTATTCCTCGATAACATTTCCGAGGCAGGTGCTGGCGACAGATGGTTCCCTGCGCCGTTTACCATTCAACTCCCTGTATACACAGTCCTACGGCGGCCGAGACACCAATTCACCGAAATAAAGAGCCACTGCAAAACGCGATTATTGCACACTAATCAAATCCTCATGCCAGCAATTTTTTGAGCGACGAAGCGTGCACAGCCCGGTAACTCGCATTTTATACAGGCCATCAAAAACACGCCGGATAGAATAATTAATTTCTCCAGTGTGTCGTGGTTTGATCGAGTCAAGGTGGTTTCGGATAACGGTCTCCCACAAGCGGAGGCTGGCCCCTCGTGCATACTGATGCAGCGGAAAAGCGCAACTTTTCTCCAATATATTTCACAGCTTGTTTGAAGGGTTGTGTATTTTGGCCTTGCGGCGACAACACGCCTAATCAAAATGGCCAGTCATAATTAAAAGACAAAAAGTGAAATTGGTGCGATCGGTGGAGGGCAGTGATGACTCGTGATTTTCTCAAGGCAACAAATGTCATCCATCACTGCGGTATGCGATTTGCGCCCACCCTCTGAGAAGACACTAATTTGCACGCGTGTGACAAGTGCGGCATTTGCAAACCAGAAGCCTTTCATTTCTAAACTCTTGTTTCTCATTTGGATGATTCTATATAATACATTGCGTACTCGGGACAACCTCTGTCAAGGCACCTCACATATTGTTTACTACAACATACTTTTGTCTCCTTTACCAAAAGATTAAAACAAGAGCACGATTAAGCATATAATGAAAGCATTTAGGAAATCTTGGGATACTTCATCACTTATAGGCGCGCCAACAAACAGGAAAACGCCAAAAGAATTACTCTCATTTTCCCGTTACAGTTTTGAAAGCAAACTGTCTCTACACCTGGTCATAAACACTTGCGTGTTGTAACACAATGTAGGCCTATGGTCTTCATGGTCTGAACAGTGCACAAGTTTAGAGTGAAATATTTGTGACATTATTGAACTTGAAGGAGTGATTGAAACCTTTCACGCTCCGACGAAATCATTGATCTGGCCACTGCAATCAACTCCTTGTCCCTACGGAATTGGGACGCAGTCCCGTCAGCTGTTTTCAACATCTAAAAATCGCCAAAACGTTATTGATAATGTCCGTCTGTATAAACCATGGTAATCACCATTGCCGTCACCATATTCGCTGTCAACACCATTACCACAACTACTGTATTCTGTCTAAGATGTTGAGTTTTTCTAATCCTGTATACGTGTACCGTACCCTCCTGCTATCCATCGTTGCAGCGAAGTCCTACGAGTCAAGCATTTTGACATGTACGTTGACCTAGCCAGCCTCACCGAGGGTTGTTGGGTTTTTAATTAAGGTTAGAATCGTTCTGTTTAGTAAATTTGTTGAGCATTATTTGCAAAAGTCTCTCTGCAGTTCGTTGTAAATTTACAAGCTGCGACTTTCTCGCGATTCAGAGAGTCTCGTCTTTCTCGGTCTCTTGACGGTCACGGTGTTAGAATGAATCCAAACTAGGAGATCTATAGGCAGCGAACTCTTCAGCTAGGTCGTGCAAATGCTGTGTGATGACTCCCATCCTGCAAATGCACTCTTCAAATAATCAAACACAAATACAGATCAGTTGGGGGCGAACACAACACAAGTCTCCCTGTTTAACACAGCTGTAAGATATCTTAATTGGAATTTTTAAAGTCTGGAGCAACAATTATTAGACAGTGAGCACATCTTACTAGAATTTGCAAAAATTTAATGTTTGCTGTAGTTTACTGTCAAGAATAATTGAATAATTTTAATTATTTTTATTGTGATTTTTGTGTAAAGTGTCAGTGTATGTTTTTAAGTGAGCAATCAAATGGATTTTAACTAAAAATGGTATATTTCATATTGTATATGTAACAATGATAATAAATCAAATAAATCAAAATAGAAAGTCTGATTTCTCCTGAAATTATGAAGTGACGGCCATTGTCATCGCATTTGGTCGTCATTATCATTTACTGTTAACATTCCACGCCATATGCTGTCTCTACTAATCCCTAATTGCCAATGGAGCAGGCAAGGCCAGCTACCAAGAACGCAGCATAACCGCAACATGTGCGGATTATACCATAAGCAAATTCGGATTCATTTACTCAGACTGTCCCGATATGTTTTTTGTTTATCTAAGGAGTGAACCACGCATGTGCCGCGTGCTCTGTAGCGTCCGGATGAGTCCGTCGCCAGTCGAAATTACATACCAATTAGGGTCCGATCTTGATTTCATTACTGGCCCGTGCATACAAACATAGGATAAATCTCAGACGCACCGCAACCTGCGGCTAATTGCCTTTCGTCGAAAGCAGTCAGTGTCAAAAATAATGTCTGGTACATATTGGCTTTTG